ATACACATTAGAACATATGCATACAGTCTCACAAATACTATATATATATATATATATAATCGCATGTTTAAGATACAAATCAAGATTTTGATTTTTACTTTAGCATTTGGACATTCTGTACAATTTGGATAGTTAAACCTGCCCAGCTGGCTGAGCAGATGCTTTGGCCTTTGTGAAGAGAAGGTAGAAAGGCCTTCTCACATTTGGCCCTCACTCATGGAATTCCCTTCCCCAGCCAAGTAAACAGAGCATTGAAATTTAGGGTCACTCCAAAGTCAAAATAAAATCATGTTTTTATCATAACATTATTTAATTTTTACTAGACTTTAGTGGTCATTTTTTTCAATGGATTTCATATTGTATGGTACCTTTGTGGGATCATTAATTTGTAAATTTGAGTGCCCATACACCACATAATGGTATCTTTAACAGTAGTCAAATGTCTAGAAACAAAATAAGAAACACCTACGCAATTTGCACAGAAGAGCTGTTGCCAACTTTCAAATAAACAATCATGTTGAATGAAGAAAAGAACAGAGAGGTTTGCTACAAATTCTTATTGTGAAGGAATTTTGATGACATGCATTCAAGGACAAGTCTTCTCGGTGGAGGCCCCCTTCTCTGCAATTTCCTACCTCCAAAGGTAAGTTCAGCCACTTCACTTTAGTCTACCAGGAAATGTTGGGGAAAGGAATGGAATGTTGATAGATGCTCCCAAGGAAGTAATGTGAAGTGGAATATATGACGCAAACACTGCTGAAGTGTGAGTTTGGATTATCTGCTGTGTGGTTGTAACACTGTGGTTTCAACCTTACTACTGTGCAGGGGAATTGTACAAATACTCACCCCAGAGAAATTTTGATTGAAGCATAAAAGCCTAAGTAATAAAAGGTAAGGTTTTTTTTTGTACATTTGTGTCTGACTCTAGGGGCGGTACTCATTTCTGTTTCTTAGCCGAGGGAGTCAGCGTTGTCCAAAGATATTTCTGTGGTCATGTGGCCAACATGACTATATGCCGAGGCAAATGGAACACTGTTACCTTCCCACCAAAATGATACTTACTTATCTACTCGCATTTGCATTCTTTCAAATTGCTAGGTTGGCAAGAGCTGGAGAAAGGACAGGAGCTCAATCCATTGTGTGGCACTCAGGTCTTGAACCTGGGCTATTAGCTTTACAGCTGACAAGCTCAGCATCTTTAACCACTGAGCTATCACACCCAAATAATAAATAAATAAATGTCTAAATAAAATCACATGGACACATAAATTTGCATGCAGATAGATTGTGCATTTATGTTTAAAAAGAGAGATTAATAAAATGTCTTGAAAAAAGACTGCAAACTTTTCTCATTATACTATAATTATTGAGAGCAGAACCAGCCATCTGTGTTATAATGCTATCCACCAATCCTTGAACCACTAGAAAAGTATTCCAGCATAAAATTTGCTGCTTTGACTGTTGAACCTTATTCCACTATGGTAATAAAACCAATGACTGGTGCTGTCTCCGTGCTTTATGAAATGGACAAAAGACATAATGGATGTCTTTTACAAACATATTTTAATATAATATCTAACTTCATACTTTGACCCAGATTTTACAAATGAACTGTCAAAAAGAGCAGAGAATATAATTTGGTATCTGAATATTTACTTAATCTATAGTTTGCTCTGCTTCAGGGTAATAGAGGTATAGATTACAGAAATCTAGTTTACTGTTAGTGTTTAATTTACCTTTTCTTTTTTGTATTATATCACTTGACCATATCAGAAAACCAATTCTAGCCAGTCTTGGTTGATCCCTCAAAGCAAAGCAAGATCAGAACTTGATAGAACCTGGATGGAAGATGATCAGGAAATTCCAACTTTGTATATAGGGGAGGTTTCATGTGACAACAGTAAGTTTTAAGCAAATGAAGTTAAAACTTATACAACAGATTTAATAGGGTATAAAGAGAAACTAGCAGACCAGATTCCAAAGGCTACAAGCATAAATCCTAAGTTTTTAACAAGGATAAATGGGGCTATGGTAGTTTACATAGAAGATTAAATAAGATCTTTTGGGTAGATCTAAAGGATCTACTCAAACTTACTCAGCCCCTAGATAGGTACCAATGGGATTTGTTACATTTTTTCAGAGAATGTGTCCAATGAACTGAGGTTTTAAGTCAATGGGGCAAAATCTAGAGTTCCCTGCTGCTTTGCAGGGGCTTTAGATAAGGATATACCTAAACCATGGTTTGGAAAGGAGCAGAAGTAGATCTATTTGATTTTAGAACAATTGATGATTTCCATACTGGGCTGATGGGTTCAAAAAGAGGGAAAGAAGGAAGTGTAAGGAAGATATTCCTGGGTTTTAAAGTCTGAGAGAGATTAAAAAGAGTGGGCAATAAGCATTTTCCTAGGGACATTGAAGGACAATAAGACATCTATTCATGCTGCATAAAATCAGTACTACATACTTTCATTTATCTTGATGGTTAGAACAAGATGCCTAAGGATATATAGCAACCTTTCCTATGGACAGAAGTTATTCTGTTGTGTGTATAGCATATGGAAGTTGTAGAAAACTCACTTTGCAACTTTACCTGTCAGACATCTAGCAGTGTGTAACTATAAAAGCCAATATGTAACCTTCAACATAGATGTTGGATCTGATGATTTGCTTATTAAGCCTGGATAACTTAAAGATTCTTATTCTATTGCCTTGAGTGTGCTGCAACTTCCCAATTTTAATTCTTTTTAGCATAATACAGGAGAAATAAAAATGCATCCTGCAGACCTGACTAAGGGTTTACTGAGGCTCAAACTAGATATATATTATCTAACTTTTCACACAAAAAGAGCACATCTAGCACTGCATAAAGGATTTATACTATATATGCATAAGAATTGCTGTGAAAAAATAACACAACATAGTGCAAGGTGAAATTGAAGACTGGTTAACGTCTGGAAAACCTGCCTGATAATGATTCAGAAAAAGGGTAGACCAAGAAACTACAGGCCAATTAACTGCTTACCAACAACTTTCAAATTACTAACTGATGTGGTATCTGATGCACTCCAACATCTAGCTGAAAACAAGGTCTTTTCACCTGAGCAGAAAGGAAATCACCCAAGCAGCAGAGGAACAAAAGATCAGCTTCTAACTGACAAGATGGAAAACTGCAAAAGAAGGATAACCAACTTGAATGTAGTGTGAATTGATTACAAGAATGCATTTTATCCTGCCACATGATTGGATAAGCAAATGCTTAGAAATAACAGGAGTCAGTAGAAACCTCAGAAGCTTTGTGCAAAGATCAATGGAAGACAGAGTTGCTGGTCAATAGATTGAGGCAAGTTAATATCAAGAGAGGAATTTTTCAAGGAGACTCGGTATCACCACTACTCTTTGTCATTGCACTGATACCTTTGTCAATGATACTGAATAATGCAAGCCATGGCTATCAAACATTAAAAACATTTTCCAGGCTATCCCACTGCCTTTACATGGATGTATCCAAAATCAGTGGAGGAAATAGGACCAACACAATTAACATCTAGGCAATTCCAGTCCTTAGATACACAAATAGAATAATGAATTAGAATCAAGCACAACTAAAAGCTCTGGATAGTAAGGCTAGGAAAATAATGACAATGAATCATGCCCTTCACCCTTAGAGTGACATTGACAGACACTACTTACCAAATAAAATAGGTGGGCATGGAATGTTGCAATTACATCAGATGTAGAAGAAGAAAAAAGGGCATTGGAAGAATATCTGAAGGACAGTGAAGAAGATGCACAGAAGCTAATATACCAGGAAGTCTTACTGCATACTGGAGAGACCAAATTGGCTTACAAGGAAGACCAAATGAAGAACAGAAAAGAGACACGAGTAGACAAAGTATTATATGACCACTATATTAAAAAGATTAAAATGCTCTTGTCACATAACACAATGACAATTAAGAAAGATAAAAATTCGGATATTGGATGTTGCAGTATGTAAGAGCAGCAACTTAGAAGACAAAACCTGGAGAAAATCATAAAATACAAAGACCTGCAAATTGAAGTAGAATGACAGTGGCAAAAGAAAGCAAAGATAGTACCAATAATAATAGATACCCTCAACACCATCAAACAATATGGGAAGATGGATAAAAAGCCAAATCCAGTCTAAACACCTGGCCGACTTTGTAACCAACCATAATATAATAACAATCTTAGTTGTGAAGCCACTTTAAGTTGCAAAATGTTGCAACGTGTAATGCAAAGTGTTGTGTTCTCCTCAGGAAGGGACAATTGACATTTGGAGATTCAGAGAAGACTCTGTTGACTTTAAAACAGGCAAACTGATCTAATGGGAAAATGGGAAACTAATGAAATAGGGAAAATGAATGGCTACCTGGGGCCACAATAGTGCCCAGAGACCTTACACCAGTCCATTCTTACTTTTGAAAAAGAAACGATTGATGTAAAATATTAGGAAGCTGTTCTATTTTAAAGCAATGTTTTAAAAACAACTTGAAAAGCACTGGTTTAAACTAAAACACTACCTTCTAGCATCATATTTATTTGTAGAAATCTGTTGAGGCCAACTGGGAGAGTAAATAACATACCGTGAGGGCTGTATGATACCAAATTCATCCGGTAAATGAGTGGCCATGTGACATTGCTTCTTGTAGTTTTGTTTTTGGCTTGTCTTTGATTTTGCTGATCCAGTAAGAATGCATACTGTGCTAAAAAAAGGTAAACATGTATTTTGCTTTTTGTACAGGGTGGTACTTTCAAAAAGCCTTACTTTTACTCAGAAATTTTCTCAGTGAGTCCTGAAGCCTTTGCTCCCAGATGAGTTTTCATCAAACTCCCAAGCAGAAACGTTTTCTTTTATGTGATCTGTATGTTTTTCATAATGTTATCCGGAGTACAGGAAAAGAGCTCACATTGTTTGGGTGTGTCTCTGAATTAATATTCTGCAAGTGTTTTTTAAAAAAGGATTACTTACGTTGTACTTCATTGCCTGTTACTGAACAGCTTTATTCTTTGTATATTCAAAATATAACACAAACAAAGAACAGCACAAGAAATGGGAAGACTGTGTTGAATAGTTCCTTCTGGCTTTGCTACAACAGAGATTTTTATCCCTGTACACCATAGGGTAAATCTGCTAATGCTTGATTACTTATATTTACTTACATTTGCACACTGTTAGGGCTCACAGATCAACAAATTTTTCGAGTACCATCATATGATTTTGCACAATACCCCCAATTTTAAAAAAATAAAAATAAAAATGACTAAAGGCATAAATGCTGTGATCTTGCAAGATTCTGCGTTAGAAATATTGATTAGTTTTAAACATGTATGCCATGTTTTGCTATTGTGGACACCATATCAATCATAGGTACTGTGGTTCCAGCCACTGCTAAAGTATTTTTCAAGTACAATTTAACATTTATTTACTGAACCTCCACTTGTATGGCTTTTCTGGGAAGGAAGTAACAGAGGGGGAGGATAATTTCCTTCATTATGCCTGGATAACTGTTGCTAAGGCTGCTGATTACCATGCATAGAAAGCTAGCAAAGCCCCGGGTCCTCAAGAGGTACAGATTGCTCCATTGATTAATGACATAATCCTAGGTGCAATTTGGGGGAAAAAATCAGATGTAAAGATACCCTTGAAATCATCATGATAATGATGCATCTGTCCTGTTCAAGTATGTCACCCTATTCGGTGGCAATTTCTGTCTAGTACTGGATTTGCTTTATTCCTCTTTAGCACTGCATTTGAGTTTTAACCAATTTTGTGGAGTTAAATTATGAAGAGGAGGAGGTCATTTAACTTATTGCTGCTAAGCATGTCATCACCAGTCCTGAAGGTCATGCTGTATTTAGTTGCTCATTACATCCCACAGTGTAAAACTGCACCAGCTGTTTAATTCCCGAAGAGTCCAAACAGAAAGAAATTCTCTATCAGTTCTTCATTTCATTTCCTACATACTGCCTTGCCTGCACAATATGCAACCTGCTATGTACAGTACATTATGCATTTGGTCACACTTGCTAAAGCTACTTATTGCTACCTGTTAGTCTGACTATCCCTTACCTGTTAATTCAGCATCATTAGACAATGGCACGTTAACATTGTACCCATTTAAATGAAATTATATTGACTGTCTCTCTGACAGTAATAACAAATCTAACTTATTTTGTACGCCTGGTGATGTTGGAAAATCAGTAACGCTCTGGGAAGCTCTAGACCGCAAGGCAGTAAAAGAAATGCTGCATGCTAGATGCATTTAGGCATGCTTCCTTCTCTCTCTCTTTGATATATAGATAAAGGGCAATGTAGCAGAAATCAATATTGCAGTATTGCCATTATCTTCTGTGAAGGCTGCACATATCTCAGAAGACTCTATGCAACATTTTATGGGCACAAAGCATCCATAAAAGGCTGTGTAAAAGGAGAGCTGCACAAAGCACAGAGGTTCCTGTAGCCAAAGAAGAATGAAGCAGAGTGGAGCAGGATAGGCAAGGGCCTGGGTAGAGATGCTTAGGTATATTCCCCTTGTCTAACATAGACTGGAATCAAGTCACTGCACAAAGCCAAAGTCCCAAGGAGTGGCAATTGCTGCAAGGCTTAAAATATAACCGATTGCAAGAGTCGGAAACACAGCATCAGGTCCAAAGGGATGGGTGGCTTCAGCAGGTTGCCATCGAGGCGCAGGTAGCGAAGACGTGGCGCATTTTCAAGATCTGAAGATGCTGCATGAAGGGAGACCAGACCAGTGGGGCATATCTGAGTCCCATTGATTTCTAAAGGCAAAAAAGAAAAAAAAGAAAAACCCAGAATTAAGCAATAGGCTGGGGACAGGGAAGTTGCAGAGATCATCAGTTTCATATTCCATTCTGCTCTTTCAGTATTCATTATTCATCAATTAACTATTGACAGAATTATTCAAATACAATATTGTATTATTGCAATAGTCCCTTCCGGCTTAAAGATATTTATAATTCTACTCCTCTGTATGAAATTATGGAAGAAACTTCCCTTGCCTGCAGTAAGCAAAGCCTTTCCTATTCAGTTTTTGATTCCCATGTTTTTTTCCACATTCATTTAATAAAGGGTCTCTATAAATCACTCCTAAATACTGAGTATCTAAAAAAGTGGCTAACATTGAGTGTGAAATCCAAGTATAAAACCAACGTACTAAAGCTCCTTAGAAAACCTGCATTTGTAAGAATGTTTTAGAATTTTTAGGATGGTTATTTTAATCTTTTCTATAACTTTACAAGCTATATGTTTCTGTACTGCTTTAAAAAATTAGAAATGTGCAGTGAAGACCAGGGATGAATGAGCTAGTACATGCACTTTCTTGCTTTCATTATCCCTTCCCTTCCTTCTACACACACATTGATGGAAAACTGTAATACAAAGTCTTTTGTTTCCATGGAGGCTTCCTACATACAGTATCTTAGAAGTCTAAATTGCACACTGAACTTCCAGAGATACAAAGGTTCTCTGTTGCAGAACTCCATAGAGTGAATGAAGATGGAAAGAAAATTTAATAATAATAATAGTAAAGTTGGAAGGGACCTTGAAGGTATCTAGTCCAACCCCCTGCTCAGGCAGGAAACCCTATACCATTTCGGACAAATGGCTGTCCAGTCTCTTCTTAAAAACTTCCAGTGTTGGAGCATTCACCGCTTCTGGAGGCAGGTTGTTCCACTGGTTAATTGTTCTCACTGTCAGGAAGTTTCTCCTTAGTTCTAGATTGCTTCTCTCTTTGATTAGTTTCCACCCATTGCTTCTTGTCCTGCCTCCAGGCACTTTGGAAAATATGCTGTACTTGTGCATTTGGTTTTTCTTGCCTAAATGTAGAACCTTGCTTTTTTCACCATTGAATTTCATTTTGTTAGATAGTGCTCAGTGTTCAAGTCTGTCCAGATCCTTCTGTATCTTAAGCCTGTATTTTGGAGTGTTGGCTATTCCTGCCAGCTTGGTGTTGTCTGCAAATTTGATGAGTTCCCCATCTATCCCATCAAATTTGCAGACTGCCATCATCTTTCTTCATATCTATTCATTACAGCCTAAAACACAAAACATTTATGGCCTGCCTTTCTAACGAGTATATTTGTTATATAGTATACTTAACTGAATGCTTGTTTGCAGGTGTGCATTTGATTCATATTTCATTACTAGAACGCTGTTATACTCAAAGTTTATTATTAATTGCGAATGGTATTGACAACTCAGAAATTTTCACTAAGCTATCCTCATGGAAACTAAGTTGGCTATTGCTGTGCCCTTTGTATAATCATTATGGAATCAATCAAGTACTTTTTGTTGACTGACTGCAATGTGGACAAAACTAAGAGAAAGAGACAGAAGGGAAGGCCAAGAACTGGATCTGGAGTTTCCTTCTCTGGATAGCTCTGAATTCTGAGCCTTCTACATCATCCTTATCAAACATGATAAATTATATAATCTTCTAACCAGTATGGTACTATGGAGCTGAAGTGCAATAAACTTGCAGGACATTATGCAAGATTATGCCGTACTGACCATATAGACCAATGGACAAGAATTCCTATTGAAATGGGCCACTCAAGCACATTATTAATAAGCTACATGCCAAATGACATTGCACTTTCTCAGATAGAGTCACAGGATCCATATCCACATATAGATAACCACCCAATTTGAAGCAGATTTTCACATGCAACAAGAAACAACAAGAAAATTATGTTAACAAGCAAACAAGACCATGTAACAAGCCCAGATGTCTATTTTACACCAGCAGTGCCATACAGATCCCAGCAACTTCACACATATGATTAGAGGCACCATTACATGTTCTTCCTCTAATGTAATTTATACCATCATCTGCCAGCATTGCCCCTCTGGAGTCTACATAGAACAAACAGGACAAACTTTGCCCAAAATAGCAATAGCAGTTAGACTTATATATTGCTTCATAGTGCTTTATAGTTCTCTCTAAGTGGTTTTCAAAGTCAGCATATTGCCCCCCACAATCTGGGTCCCATTTTACCGACTTCAGAAAGATGGAAGGCTGAGTCAACCTTGAGCGGTGAGACTCGAACTGCCAAACTGCTGGCAATTGGCAGTCCGCAAAATTAGCCTGCATTACTGCATTTTAACCACTGACATCAGGTTCAAAACAAGCATAAAATAATAACAAGACATTTCAGTCCCTCAAGATTACAAATTTTGGAAAAAATAAACTTTACAATGTACTTGAGTAAGAAATTGTTGAACTCACATACATTAAAATAAATCAGGCTATCTCAGAAGAACTCAACAAAATCAACATTTTTAACACATTATACTTGTTAATTGAGAAAGTACTGTAATCTGTTTTATATGTAACTTGCCTCAGCATAACCAACCTGTTTATCCTGCCCTTTTCCTCCCCCTACCTTATTCTAATTTAACTCCTACATGAATTTAGCTGCTCTATGCATCTGATAAAGTTAGCTGTAGTTCACAAAACTTTATGCCTTTTAAACATGTCAGTCTGAAAAGCTGCTAACATATATTTTTGGTTTTATGGTATCGCAGACTTTGTTACAGTTCAGCACCAATCATGCTGTACCAATGGGCATGCTAGCTGGGTTGGTAATATTTGAAGGATGTGTTGTAGAAACATGGCTCTAAGATAGGGGCACAGAACCTGCAACTCTTTGGATGATGCTTGTCTGTACACCTAAACACCCTAGTCAGTACAACTAATGGTGAAGGAACCTATTGAAGAGGTCAAAATTATTTGTTTCCTGTTCTGATAGCATTCATGTTATTTGGTCCACCAGTAACATAGTAAGCCAAACCCATACACAAAGAGGGTGGGCCTCTGATTGAGATGCCACAATACCATCTTGCAGATTTGGACTGGGGGATCAAAATGTGCAAGACAGCATCATGGTATCATGATTCCAACTCCTTTATATGTGTGTACATTTCATGTGTTCATTTAAACTTGACTGGTGAAAAATGTTCACATAGTTTTTCAGATGGATATGCCTATCCTTTCTTTCCTTATTCGTTTATATACAGGAAAAAAATAAGAGGAAGAAGAGAAAGAAACCAGCCTATAGCTAGCACTGGGGAAGCCTCCAGGATTTCCAAGGCCTGTTTCCAACACAATGGATGGGTTGGGAATGGCAGTAGTAGCGGTAACTCTCCCCTCTTCCTCTTTCTCTCTACCTTGCTCTGCTTCTGGCATACTTCTTATTTGGGCCTTGCATTTGGCCTTTTTTGTCTGGACTGCAAAAAACTACATTAAACATAACATCAAACAGGAACAGAAAACTGTAATTGTTTGTTTCCAGTAAGTGGTCATTCAATTTTTTAAGCATATATAAAATAATCCTACCCTATTCAATCAGCTCTGTTAAAGCATGGAGCCAAAAGGGTATAGCTTTCATTATATTTATGTCACTAATATTAAGTATGTTTTGTATGACCTTTGAATCAGACTAATTCCACAAATTTCTTATTCACAGCCACCATACACACCAGTGTTTCAAAAGGAGTTGATCAATCTCATTATATTGGAAGTATAAAAAGGATGAGGGGACAGCTAATCATAAGATATGGATTCATCCCAGTATTTTCCTAATTTGGCTTAATAATCATAGGGTTACTAATATGGCATTGCCATGATCAAACAGTATGATGTGAATATATTTTTGAATTAAAAATCGGGGACATGCCATATTAGAAGATTGCTGGCTTTATCAAGTAGTATGTGTGTGGAGAGACAGTAAAATAATTACTTTGAGTGTTGGAAAGACAATGCAACTACAGATGTACAAAGTTGAATCAACTATACATGGTTACTTTTGGTTTATGAGCTGGTATTTTCAATATAATAGAAAAGCTCATTGATGTGTGGTCATGGTTTAATGAAATATTTAAACATTAGACTGTATTATTTCCTTTATGTAGTATATATGGCTTGCCTTCAGAAATTGTGGGGGCTCCATCACTGGAGGCTTTTAAGAAGAGACTGGACAGCCACTTGTCTGGAATGGTATAGGGTCTCCTGCTTGAGCAGGGGGTTGGACTAGAACAGTGATCATGAACCTTTTAGAGACCGAGTGCCCATAAACCACCCCCGCCCCACCTTGTGTCCCCGCACCATCCCCCACCCCATTGCACCCCTGCTCTACCCACCCACAGGGCCACCCACCACCTCCACAGATCGCCCAGGTGGCCCAGCAGCGCTATGGCAGCTACACCCTCCGCCTGCGCCCCACAGCATCAACAGCATACAACGGGGTGTGAGGGCAGAGTCTTGTCCCCGCTGCCTGGCTGCCATGTCCTTGGCTGCACTGCTCCATGGGGGCCGCGCTTGGGGCGACTCTCCTCCAGGGGGCTGCTGATGAGGGGACTGCGGGGGGAGGCAGGGCTGATGGCGCACATGCCCACACAGAGGGCTCTGAGTGCCACCTCTGGCATGAGTGCCATAGGTTTGCCACCACTGGACTACAAGGCCTCCAAGGTCCTTTCCGATTCTGTTATTCTGTTATATTTAATTTTTTCTTGTTCCCTTTGTTTCTGCTATTTGTCTTTTGTATTTTTCTAATCTTTCCTCCCTTTCTGTATATTAAACCAGTAATATAAAAAGTAAAATTAATATATATATATACATATATATATCTGCTGCAAGAAATTTTTTTATCCTTACTATTCAGACTAATGCTCAGAAACATATGCATAGCTTTTTAAAATAAATCTTCAGTCCTTTTAATTTAAGATGCTAAAGAGTGTTATGATTATCTACTGAAATCCTGGTTTTGAAGTAGGAGTCAGGTCCTTCCTATATGAGGCCTATCTTATAAGGACATTTTATTGGCCTACATGGTTGTCATTCCTGAGTTGCCAAAAATTTAACTTGAAAGAAAAATCCAAGCTTTTGGGGTTGGTTTGAAGTACAGCGGCTCATTATTTTCTTTATTACTTCCTTGTTAAGACGTTCTGGAAAGAATTCTGCATTTCTTAAATGTAGATGTTTTCAATTAAGGCAACAGATGTTGAGAACTTCTGCTGAACATACTCCTGGGAACAGGAAGGAGAAATGTTTTATTTTTCTATAACTATGTTGTATTCTGAAGGATACAAACTAATCTATGAAATTATTAAGGCTTTACCCAAAAGTAGGAGAAATATCTGTTGATAAAAAAAATCACATTTAAATATCTAAAGACACAAAATGTGAAAACTCATTGATGTTTTATCTCCGCACTTCCTTTACACAGTTACTCATTAATTTAAATTAATGGAAAAATAGTGTGCAAAAAAATTAAAATTGCTTTGATTTGCAGTGCTTTCTCAGCGAAGAAAAAAGTCTTTGGAAAACAAGTCAGTCCTACAAGCCAAAATCTATTAGCTATAGATTGACAGAAGCAGCAGAAAAGTAAATGGAAGGATGCTGAGTTTTTCCCCTCCCTTCCTCTCTCTCCCTATATCAAAGAAACATAAAAATAATTTCCCTTTTTGTTATGTGGAAAGATCTAAATGTTTCTTTATATGGAAATAGTATAATTTGCATGGAAAAGAACAATTTGCTCTCAGCCTGACTCCTCTCTACCCACCCACCCACCCTGTTCTGTTCAGTCATCTGTCCTAACAGTCATAAAGTTACAGCTTTGGGCAAGATGGAATTTATAATTTTGTGGAACCCCATGGAGTATGATTTAAGAACAAAGAGGGAGAATAAGATTTAATACTGAAATTCTCTTGGAAGCATCAATATAAGTAAGTCATTTTGGAGCTTTTAAAATGAATGTTGAATCATGAGATAATCTACCTCTTCCCACTCCCTTTCTCCCCCACAAACAGGTTCTCTTGTAGGTCTAAACGAGTTACAGATTTGTGCCGACTCACTTTGAATTGAATTGTCATTCAAGTAGAGGTGCTCCAACCTGGGGCTGATGTAGGGGATGCTGGTGAGGTTGTTGTATGCCAAATGCAAAACCAGCAAATTGGTGATGTTGAAAGTGTCCAAAGGCAATCCTTTGTCAGACAGTTTATTATAGTTAAGCCTGATGAAAGCCAAATTGGAGAAATCTTTGAAGTAATTGTTGGGGATATTATCAATTTGATTCTTATCAAGAAAGAGCTGGTGAATGGCTTTGGGGACCCCAGGAGGCATCTTACTTAGCCGGTTATGAGCCAGGTTGAGTTGCATGAGGTTCTTGAGCCCCTTGAACGTATTCTTTTTGAAGTCTCCATTATCCAATTGATTATGATGAAGATCTAAAAGGAGGAGGTGATCTAATTTGCTGAATACATTTTCAGGGATTTTGGAGATACGGTTTCTGCTCAGCCTAAGTTGCTCAAGATTGGGAGGCAAGTTGTTGGGCACTTCCTTAAGGAAATTTTTTTCCATGTATAGAAAGATAAGGTTATCCAACTTCTGCAGTACTTGGGATCCCACTGAATCAATGCGGTTGTTGTCCAAACTGATCCACCGCAGCCCTGTCGCATTCTTGAAAGATTCTTCAGAGAGCTTGTCAATGAAATTGTTTTGTAGGTACACATGTTGGGCCCTGGGTGGGATAAGTGGGACTTTTCTCAGGTTGCGACTATCACAGTAAATGGCTGAAGGAAAATCTGGGGGGCAGAAGCATTCTCGGGGACAATCTGGAAAAACTGAGGGGGGTCCTGGGGGCAGAGGTGGAGGGAACTCAGTCGGCTCAACTGGCTCAGGGAGTGAAGGAGTTGGGCGCTTCTTTGGAGGTTTGGTGCGCCTCGCTCCATTCACCTCACAGATCAGCACAAAAATGAGTGGGAAAATCAGTCTGGCAATCCTCTTCATGTCTAAATAGAACAACAAGAGAAAAAAAAAGCAAACATCAAAAAATATACTTCATTCATTCATTCATTCATTCATTCATTCAATATTTAAACAATATTTCCCTACATAGACTGTTCTTCTTATTTGCTTTGCATTTATGTTTGTAAATAGAATTTTGAGAGCTGGCAAAGACAATAATTCGAAATATTGGATAACAACAGACTGGAGAAATCTGCAATGAAATGTTTGAACTTAGGAGTTAGCCACCTGTTACAACTTAAGTGTGATCCATCTGGGATGGGACAAAAATTTTGGAATATACAAACCCAATGCTGGGGGGAAAAAACCACCCATGAGGAATGGAGTCAATGAGAATGCTAGTCACATATTTCCAGTAGGTGCAGGGAGTTAACAATGAGGGGGATGCACTGCTAATGAACCCTCTTGGATCAGTACATAGAGAATACAATACAACTGTAGAACATCACTCCCATATCATGCTTCATATTGTCTTCTGCAGGGCCTAGAGGTAATCCTCAACTTACAATAGTTTGTTTACTGACTGTAGTTACAACAGCACTGAAAAAAGTGACTTATGACTGTTTTTCACACTTACAACCATTGCAGTATCCCCACGGTCACGTTCAAAATTCAGACCCTTAGCTATTGACTCATATTTATGATGGTTGCACTGTCCTGGATCATGTGATCATCTTTTGTGACCTTCTGACAAGCAAAGTCAATGGAGAAGCCAGATTCACTTAACAACCATGTTACTAAATTAACAACTGTAGTGATTCAGCTAACAACTGTGGCAAGAAAGGTCATAAAATGGGGCAAATTTCACTTAACAACTGTCTTGCTGGCAACAGAAATTTTGGGCTCAGATATGGTCATAAGTCAAGGACTACCTATATTTGTTCTTTTTCTCAGTCATTTGTTTGGAGCACAGGATACAAAAGGGAGGAGGCCTGCAAGGAAAACACATTGCCTTCCCGGGATAAAGGTTAGAGATCTATTCAGAAAGAAAAGTCCACACTGATGAGGACAAAACAGACTAAAGCAGAGAGATGGATGGTGACTTCAGCTTCCACCATCAACCGTGAAGTATAAATAAGGGCAGGGAAGCAAGAGATGTGATAATGGAAAGCAGGAAATGAGAAACAGAAGTTGGAAGGGGTAGTGATGGTAGTTTGCAGGTCTGGAATACATATAAAGCCATCATGTCTTAAGCACAAACAAATGAAAGAGGAGGTCTCTGAGGCCCTTAGGGCAGACTCCATATAATAGCAAAGTCACGCTAAGGGAAATGGCCTTTTTAGTTTTTGCCTCCAACTCCAAACTCAAACACTCCTGCTAATAATTCAGAAGCTGCCTGAATGGAAAAATCTCATGTTTTCTACAGAAAATATTTCAAGAATAGTGATATCACTTTTTTTATGAATTTAGACCAACATGCCCCAGCTCAAGCATAAAAGGAAGACATTTGATAAATGGGTGGGAGGGCAGGAGGGATATTAATCCATAATTTGCACAACTTAATTTACCAGAATACTACATGGACAGTAGACTTCTGCATGGCCCATCCAACCATCCTTTTTGGTTCATTGCTCTTTGGCAATCAAAGGACCAGATCCTATGATCACAGTTAGGAAGTTCTGCAGGGCATTGCCTGGCAAGACTCACTACGCTTTATTTATCTTCCTAATTTTAATTCTTCCCATTACATATTCCAATCCACATGCCTCAGGATCCTGGCAGAAATATCTATTTCATTTCTGTGCCTCAAAAAGCTTCTGTGCCTCATCCATTATCAACAAAAACACAATGACATACATGGCAAAAGCATATTATAGCTCAAGAAAAGTGGATCTTGAAAGAAAAAGACTTACATACCAAACAATTCCCTGGAATTGTATTGCAAATTGCTCCATCAATAAAGCTGTAAGGGCAATGCCTCTTAGGGTTCCAGTTGCTGAAACCTACCTGGAACAGTGATCCCATAGAGGACTAAGCAGAAGCACCCTGGCAACTGCTGTTGAGATTGCAGTGTTCTTTCTTATAAATGCATGGAATATGATGTGCCATGAGCCCTTTGCCTTTTGGAAAAAAGTCCATGAACAGAGACAGAGAGAAAGTAAAATTAGCAGTAGCCAGTAGCCAGACAATGTCTGTGTTTGGGAGGTTTTCATCCTAAGAAAAGAGTCTGAAGACATAATGGCACCACTTGAATGACAGATTATAGCTCATACTTTGACTGCCTATTCAGCCCTATTCCTTGGGGATAATTTATATGTATGGATATCATAATGGAATTTCATGTTCTGCTCTAGACATCCAGATATGGCCAAAGTGCTCACAAGAATCTGAGGCCTGAGATTCTCAGCATAGTCACTGATTTAGTCAGTGAGAAGCAAAGCTGTGACTAAAATGGCATACTGCCAGCAGAGACTTCTTCCAAAAGGCAAAGGGCTCGTGGCACATCAAATTCCATGCATTTAGAAGAAAGAACCCTGCAATCTCAACAGCAGTTGCCAGGGTGCTTCTGCTTAGTCCTCCATGCGATCACTGTTCCAGGCAGGCTTCAGCATCCTGCTGATGTCATAGCAGGCACATGTGGGGATGGTTGCCTCCTCTGCGAGGCAACGTCTTCGCCAGCACTCAGGGATGGAGAGATACATAGTTATACAGGTAAGTTAAGACAAAATCTATAGCAAGATACAGAGGGGAGGGAATTATTGCAGCAAATCTAACATGGTCCCCTCTCTCCTTCACAGGCTTAACTGTGTCAGGTGCTTCATCCAGGTATCCAACTGGAGTCACATGAGTATTGCAGTTGGGATATTGTTTGGCGTAAAAAAACAGCATGACTGTAAGGATGCTGAGCAAAGAGACATTAGCAATTGTTTAAGTTCCCAGTTGTTCTCTGGAGACTGTTTTGCTAAATGCTTCCTTTGGGAGCAAATTTTAATTACTTTAACATTAATTCTAGTGAATTATATATCTGAGCAATATAAAGCCAGATGGCTATATGTGATATATTTATACTGCTAGAGTGTCATTACTGGGAATTGAAATATGTTATTTCTTCTTTTCTATCAAATAAATGTTGCTGTTTTTTAAAATATATATTTCCTCCAAGTAAATCAATAGGAGATACACTTCTGGATTTTTTTATGCCATTAAAAGGTGCAGGGTAAGATGAAGTTAAATAGACATGGATTTTCCTCATGTGTTATCTCCCTTTCTTCCATGATTTCAACATTTTTGACAGCAAATCTGGTAATTTTGCTGATGTATGACAAATGCCATCAATATGGTAGGGCCACAACAAATCTTGTCTCTCAAAGTCTTTGATGCCAAAGTACATTATTTTTTATGACAACAGCATTTTCTCTACTTCTTTTTCAGAGCTGAGAATCATATCAAATAATTTATGTGATCTTAAGAAGAATGACATATATTCATTAGTTTTAATGCTTATTCATACATAGCTTCTCCAGAAGCCTACAAAGAATGACCTGCCCTATCATGATGTTCTTGCTTTTATAGGATCCTTCTATTCTTAAAGCTAATTTCATGCCAGTAATTCATTTTAAGATGTGATGGCCTTTACCTAAAGTTTTAACAATGTTAGTCAATAAAAAATATCACGTTTTATGTTCAATTGCTTTACATTTTTAAATTTAGAAAATAATTGTAGTTTATATTTTACATGAAAAATGTTAAAAATGGTTTTTATTACTTTAATGAAATAGAATGTTCACTTCTTGTGACATGGAAAGTCCATCTAGCAAGCTTAATTGGTCCATCACAAAATGACTGCTGCAGAAAAATACCCAGATATAAAAAAACAAATTGGTGAGAAAAAGATAAATAATTTGCTCTAGATTCTGAGAATGAAGGAAAAGTGATGTCTGACTTTCAAACTAACAATACTATTCACAGTTCTACCTCCAAGAGGATTTCTCCAAAAAATATTTTTCTCTTTCACACTTCCAAAGCAAAAGATGCATGTTTTGTCTCTCTTTCAGATTCCCCACCACTACACTTAAAAGACGTTCCCCACCACTACACTTAAAAGACAGACACATATTTGTACATAATTTTCATATAATATTATCCAGTCAGAGGCCATCATGCTCTGTTTAATCATCTTCCAATACACTCATTTCCTCCAACTTACTAACCTAAATTTAATACCCTCCTCAGCCCGTCCAGTCAAGTTTCTACATTCCATCTCATGATGCCCATTAGTTCTTCTCATCAGTCACTGAGGATGGATCTCTCTGCCACCTGAATCCATCCAAGATTGCCCACCACTCTGAATATGTTTAATTTTCTTTCCTTTTCTTTTCAAGTAATGTTGCATACTGATAGATGTTGCATGTCACTATCATATTAGATGCTCTTAAATATTGACTAATTCTCAATTTCTGGAGAAACATTGACCTCTAAAATGTCAATACATCCACTGTCATTTATAATTAAGTAAGTGAATAAATAGAATACTCATCATCAAATAAAATTATGAAGTGGTGTCATTTTTACTGAAAATTATTCTTAATCCTGATATAGGGATCAAATGTAGCATGTAAATACATTCAGCCTCCATAAAAGCACATGTGAGTTCAGCCTTTTGTAATCCCTGATCTTTAGTGTTAGAAAGTCAAAGTTTAGAAAATGTGTCTTTAACTGATCCAGCTAGATCGAAAAAGGGATATAAATAATTAAGCCTGCCCCCTTCCACTGTTCCCATAGATGTCTTTACCTGTCCTTCCTTTTTGCATTTTATGGAAAAGACAAATTGAGTTTATCAACTATGCTATTTCTATCTTCAAACCTGGAAAACTTTGTTTACATTCCTGTAGCATCCATTATCAATTTTGCCATTTTCTGAATGTAATTGCATTTTCTTCATTAATGTATTTTTTCTTTTCACTTTTTCACCTCTAGCATAAAGATGATAATGTGACTAACAACTCTAGTGACAAGCTTCCAGTCCTTTCCATCACCCAGAGCT